ACAGCTTTTAGTTTCTGCCACACCATCCATCCTTATGCCCTCCTTCACTATCATCCATCAATCTCCTCTGAGGTCTTCCTCTTGTCCTCTTTTCCACTCATAAAAGCTGAGAAGTTCACTTAACCCTAAACATAGAACGACTTTGAAACGTGACCACTGCCAAACTACACTGCTCAAAAAATAAAGGGAACACTTGAGTCACACATCAGATCTCAGTGAATGAGATTTTTAACTTGAGAATCTGAACTGGTAAAGTACATCATGCAGTTTATTGTGGAAAAATAAGATGTAACGATGGAAAAGGAATCAGAGGAAACCAAAGACATCCTCTGCCTGGAACATGATGAGTATATGAGCTCTGGCAGCGCTCCTCATCACATGACAGTCCTGCTGCAGGGTTAGAGCTGTGCACTCTGAATAGACTGCAGGTACCTTCTCTTACTATGAGCAGTGACATAGAAATAGTTGTTGTTACTCCTCCAGTGCACCTCATGCATCTTTCATTTGCACCTAAGCAGGTGAAATGCATTCACAACAGTTTCTGTTTCCTGATTGGACAGATCAACATCTCTGAAGACTTTGTGCCAGAATCCAGTGATCAAGTATTCCTTTCATTTATTTGAGCAGTGCATATTTAAATACACATTTGTTTTCTTACAGACGCCGTTTCATTTCGTAACTCTCGTTTCTCGAGAATGTCATATGCGGCGCTCAGCATCACCACGTAATGTTGCACAAACCGAGGAGCCTGTATAGATGGGGAAAGATAAAAACGAGATACGGAGATGCATCAAAAAATAACAACTTAATCAGCGGCTGCAAAATCCCCCCCACCAAAAAAAAAACCAACAAAAAAACAAATTGTGCACTCTCAAACCTTTTGCATTAGCAAGCATTTATCAGCTACTCATAGTTTAGTTTTTAAAATTCATTTAAGGATACATTGTTTAAAATACTATTAAAACTGGTTCAACGTAAGTCTTATTCACTCACATGAATAAGACTTTCACAGTCTTTGTGCTTTTCATGTCGTTAACCTTTGTTTTCAAGCTTCTTAAAAGTCTCTCTTTTCCATCTTCCTCCTGTCTGTCCTTTCAGTTTACTTCCTCATTATTTTCTAGCTTTGTGTATTTTTCCCTCCCTCCTTTGTTCTTTGCTTGTTTTCCAGTAGCAGCTAAAGTGCCTTTTCATTTCACTACCTGCCACCCTGTACTTTCCATCTGTGTTTCAGTTTACTTACTAACGTGAATTACCAGTGTGACAGAATTAAATGACAACTTTTCTTTTGTGACTTATTTGTGGCTTTTTGTTATTCCTAGAAGGTTGAATGGCAATAAAGTAAAGAGAGCGATCGAGGGATATGCAGAAAATGGCAAACACAACAGAACTCAGGTCTCTGCAATGAGTACACAGGTCTCAATAGTTGGAGCACGAGTACTCGGTCCTTGCCCTTTCCTCTGCCTTTCTGTCTCCATTTCCCCTTCGCTCCCTTTCAGTCGTACATGCTCGAGACCTTTACTTAGACTTAGAGACTTAGAGTTTTTTATTGTCAATGTGCAGTTTCTTGCACAGCGAAATTGGGTAGCTGGACCACAAAGGTGCAAAGGTAAGAAGAGAAAACAATATACAACAAGGGGAAAACAAATAAATAATTAAAATAAAATAAAAAGCATATATGCATACATATATGTGAGTGAAACTATATACATGGAGTATGCGTAAGAACCATTGAAACAGAAACATTGTGGGTCTGGATACAAGAGCAGTTATATAGTATAATAAATAAATAAGGGTGGAGGGGCTAAGGTCATTTAGGGTGCAGATGGAAATTCTGCTGAGACCACACCTTTTATGCCTTACACTTTAACTCCACCACCCCCCACTTTTAGATAATTTAAGTGGAAATTAAACACAGCAGTAGCAGGTA